TTTATCACCAAAACATATAGAACTGTTTTTCCTCATGGCATTGTGATTCCAGAAAATTTTGAGAGTTATCACCCATAATTTTTCAGAGTCTCCCTCATATTTTGTTTTCTTTTCTTTTCTTGACCTGGAAGGCTTCAATTCAATGACATGAAGTCCTGCTTTCTCTTTGGCATTTTGATTAGACAATCTAATCGTTCCATTTTCCTATTTATATTAATTACAATACAATCAAGTATTTCTGTTCAGCACGGGATGTGTGTCTACTCGCTCCAGCCCAACATTTCTCCTGTTTAACTAATTGTCTACAAAATATATTTGAATCCGTTCTGCATTTGTGTATGTTGACTAGTGAGAAACAATTTATTAACAAAATGTTTGTGTAAGCAGCTAACAAACCAGTATTTCAATAAATTGAAGTGATAAGGAAAGATGGACCATAGTATAGAGCCTTATGGGTTGTTGGCTTCTCTGAGCAAACTGGCAGCAGAAATGTGACTAGATGGTTCATTATCATATTGACTCAGCTCAGGATTACTGATCTGTTACATGTTTTACTGTAATGGACCTTAAAAAGACTTCAAAAAGATTTAAACATCAGAATATATGTAGTAGAAACAAGATAACTAAATAAAGCATTTCCTTCCTTGAAAATAGCTATATATATATATATATATTCAGTATTATAATGTAAAATTATGTTAATCTCGACAATAACTTATGATGTGGGATTTATTTAAAATTTCTCATACCTAGCACTTTCCTGGCACTAAAATTTTATTTAGAGCTTGCTCTGTCTGCTTGCTTTGGTTATTTAAAAAAAAAACTATAAACTGAGGTTGTAAATTACTATATATGTATATGTTAAAGACACTGAAGTGGGGCAGTTCTGGGTGGTCAGAAATATTGATATTGATTTGGTGGCTATCAACAAAACACTCCAATGATCATGATAACCACTAAAAATAAATCAGTTTTCGTACTTGAGCTTTAACAAATTTTCCTACTTCAGTAATGGTATTGAAACTAAGATACACCATTGAAAGGCGTGTAGATTTAACGTGATAGCTGGAAGGGTTTGATCTATATAGTGATATCTGATGACTGATAGATCAAGTAGACTGACACATAAGTTGTTCAGTAATTATTTAAATATCAGACATTTGTAGGCATGAAACTTGAAACAATGATAATTCACATTTGATAAATGTCTTACAGTTTAGATCTAATGATCTCAATTTAAAATTTTTATCAAATTTTAAATTCAGCAATAAATTAACAATAGATTTATTTAATATTTACAAGGTAGCCAACACAAAAAAACCCACTCCATTGACCTTGGATATTTATCAGAATTATTTGAATTGGTTAAAAATTTGAGAGAGATATATATCTTGACTAAAGAATGGATTTAAGGTTCAGTACACACTTATCACATGATCTTATTATATATATATATATATATGGCAGTGTATGCCGGTCTATTTTTAAAATGCTGAACTTGAGTTATGCATGGTCTTTATAACGTCCCATAGAACTTTGAGCAGGGCACTGGGTTAGGGCAGGCCATTGTCGGCTCCTGTGTGGGGAGTTCATACTCATGCTATAGGAACATATACTTTATAACATGAAGGGTTTATAAACACGGATACAATGTTATACTCTGGAAATAATTTCTTTTTGTTTGAATTACCTGGATAATGAAGGAAGGGACATATGATATAGGTAAGTGATATGTTATTTGATTAGGTAATACAGGTATCCATAAACTGGGTCAAATATTGCACTACTTTTTCCTCTAGACATTCCAGGCATTGCCAGCTGCAGTTGTTTATAGCTGCAGATAGGGAACCAGAAAGTTTTTAAGCTTCTATTTGTTCACACTTGTCGCCAAGTATAGTCCAGTTGTCTTAACGATGAACTTGAAGAAATGTGGTTTGCCACTGCACGAGGTGAAGAAATGAAAGAAATTTCCATCCAAGTTATCATTGCAAGAGCACTTTTTATTGGTGGTAGAGAAATGAATGACTATATATACACACAGTTTTGGTTATAAATCTTTTCTGTGTAACTATCACTCTAACTGTCATAGTGCTAAAATTTCAAACATATCTTGTTGAACACATTTAAATTGTTTAACAAATATTTTCAGAATTTTTTTTTTTGGAAGTAGTTTATCGATTTATCACTAAAAGAAGCAAGCTACAGATGATCTACTTTGAGGATTATAAATTCTCCAAGCTTTAAGAAGTATAAATCGCTGACACCATAACTATAAATACCTTTTAGAGAAAACAAGAACAGCATTTATATTGTCCCCTTGTGACTGAAAGCACTGAAAGGGGACATATGGATATGTAACCATGCCTTCTTGTCTACTTAACATCCACAAGCTGTTTCATTTCTTGAGGGATTTTGATCAAACTTCACGCATTTACAAAATACCATTACATCCTGGACAAAATTGAGTTTCGGGGTTGTAGGGTCAAGGTCAGAATATTCTAACCAGTGCTCTGGTGGATTTTAATGTTTTGTAATATTTATTCAAATACCACAGTCAGTATGTCGTCAGATTTCTTAAATAGACTTGTGTTGAATACTTTTTGTTTAACATAAGGATATACTTCTCTAACTATATTGATAAGCAAGTGATTATCAAAAATCCTTGCTTTTGGCTGGACTCCATGACGGAGAAAATGTGCAATCAGAAAATGCTGTGAGAATTTGCAGTGATGCACATTAAAGAATCTGTGTGGTTGGGATGTGTGGATACAGATCACCCAGTAGTGCTGGATTTTTATTATTATCCTGGAAAGTTGTCCAAGATCACCATTTCCAGCACATTACACAGCTGGAAACAACAGGAAATCAATTCCCTCGGGAAATCTCAGCAAGATTTTATTAAAATTTGTTTTTTTGAAAAATTGACTTAAAGTTTTAGTTAAAGTGATTTGGTACATGTTAGTGCAACAGCATCAGATTGAAAATAGCTGGCAGATGGAAGAAAGTGGACATAACTAGACTTAAAGTTGGGCAAGTTTAACAGATAAATAATAAATTACGGTACAAAATCAATGAATAAAATATGGCTAGTGTGATATAAATATATTATCCGCCAACAAGGATTTCCAATTCATTTCATTGAAGGATCTACATACATTGACAGACCTACACACATTGACAGACCTACACACATTCAGGAACCTATACACATTGACAGACCTACACACATTGACAGACCTACAAACATTGTCAGACCTACACACATTGACAGACCTACAAACATTGACAGACCTACACACATTCAGGGACCTACACACATTGACAGACCTATACACATTGACAGACCTACACACATTCAGGGACCTACACACATTGACAGACCTACAAACATTGACAGACCTACACACATTCAGGGACCTACACACATTGACAGACCTATACACATTGACAGACCTACACACATTCAGGAACCTACACACATTGAGGCTGATCTACATTTAAACAGTGACACCATTAGAAACATTGGAACCTCATTGTTGTGTATTACATGGGTTACTTAATGGATACCATAATTATATGTAGGGACATTTAATGAAAAGTTCTTATATAACAGTATATGTGAGGTTTTGTTGAAGGAATCATTAATTCATGGAAAGTTTTATTGTCAAATATTATCATTTTGGTTTGTCTGCTGGGTTTTATTATTGCCCTGTCAGGGTTTTTTTTCAGGCAGGATCTCAATGCTTCATCTGGTTGTTACTTCACTGAACAACATATGGAAGGCTCATCCATCTGGTTGTTACTTCACTGAACAACATATGGAAGGCTCATCCATCTGGTTGTTACTTCACTGAACAACATATGGAAGGTTCATCCATCTGGTTGTTACTTCACAAAACAACATATGGAAGGCCCATCCATCTGGTTGTTACTTCACTGAACAACATATGGAAGGCTCATCCATCTGGTTGTTACTTCACTGAACAACATGTGGAAGGCCCATCCATCTGGTTGTTACTTCTCTGAACAACATATGAAAGGCTCATCCATCTGGTTGTTACTTCACTGAACAACATATGGAAGGCCCATTCATCTGGTTGTTACTTCACTGAACAACAAATGGAAGGCTCATCCATCTGGTTGTTACTTCTCTGAACAACATATGAAAGGCTCATCCATCTGGTTGTTACTTCACTGAACAACATATGGAAGGCTCATCCATCTGATTGTTACTTCACTGAACAACATATGGAAGGTCCATCCATCTGGTTGTTACTTCACTGAACAACATATGGAAGACTCATCCATCTGGTTGTTACTTCACTGAACAACATATGGAAGGTCCATCCATCTGGTTGTTACTTCACTGAACAACATATGGAAGGCTCATCCATCTGATTGTTACTTCACTGAACAACATATGGAAGGCTCATCCATCTGGTTGTTACTTCACTGAACAACATATGGAAGGTCCATCCATCTGGTTGTTACTTCACTGAACAACATATGGAAGACTCATCCAAAGCTTTTCACTTGGGTTAAATTTCTTACCCAACAACACATGCATGCCCTGATGTTTGATTTGCAATCTAATTTTCTCCTGAGGTTGAAATGTCTGACGTGTTACTGTACTGACTGAGCTATGGACTAAGATATCAAAGCCCCTTTGATATTCAGTACTGTACTACTTATTTGTAATTATACTGTGGGACCTCTGACTCTTTAGATTCTGAGATTACATGTATACATGAATTTTACAGTGATACAGATTACAACATGTACTCTAAGTGTCATTCAAATGTGGCAGGTTGTCTATACCTGTAGTGAGTATCTGCGCCAATACATGTGGGAGTTTTATGGGGAGTGTAGCCATTTTGGAGATCATCCTTCCTGTCAGATTCCCTGAGGCTGTCAGCATATGTTACTACTGACTGACTAAGTGGTTCTGGAAGAGCACTATATGCTGTTTGTAGTTAACACATCTGTCCTCTTCCACAACACATCAAGATGTTTTACATTACAATTGGCCAGGGCATCAGACAAAGCAGAAGTCAGGTAGCAGGTGGTTGAACTCTCAGAGATAAAGTCCAGATAATTTTATCAAAATAATCAATGGAATCTTACTACTGAAGGTCACTTGGTCAAGTCTAGGTCACAGGTACTATAAATAGATTATCTTTGTCTTTCCCGGAACATCACATTCTAGTGTTCAAAATATAAGGTACTAATGACAGTGTGTTAGAGTGTAATGTTTATCAACACCAGGTTCGTTAAGTGTATTAGCAGTTATAAAAGAGGTGGTTTGGAATGTTGAAAATAATGGATTGTTTTACAAATAATGCCAGGTCAAGAATCTCTTTAATTTTTATAATTGCTTGTTGTTTTCTATCCAATGTTGTGTGACGGAAATCTAACTAGAAGAAATGAAATTTTCTTTTACATATGTGTTTTTTTATTATTTCATTTCACAAAACAGCATGAAAATGCCATAACTTCTCATTTGCAGTCCATTCCAGTTGCTGAAGAGCCTAAAAATGTAATAATTTGAAAGCATGTTCCATCAGATGATGTATGACTTCAACATGTGTATATTCCAAAATACATGGCCATGTCTCTGGAATTGATGGCTATGTTGTTGAGAGGTTACTTAAAAGAATATTGTTGGCTTTGTGAAAACAAAATCAATCAAATTGAGGATTTCGATGATGTATGAAGACTTTGTTATATCTGGACATGTTGCCTTTGTATCACTGACGTAAAAGTTTCTTCTTCATCTCGATGATAATCTGCTTTCTTTTACCGAGGGAAATGTTATAACACAGTGTAAAACTTGAATCTTAGCTTCTCAACTCTACATAGTTGTCTAAGTGATTTTCTTTTTGTAATATTTCGTAAATAAATTCTATGTTTACGTACCTTGCTTGGCGCTGATTGGGCCAATCGGAGACTTCCTTATACCTTGAGTAATGAGCAGGGCTTCCATTTCCATGCCGAAGTCAAAGGTGTTTCTTTTGTCTTTTTTATCATGCTATATAAGATAACACCACCTTTACTTAAATACAATTGTCAAATATCTAGATTCATAAAGATATACCTGTGAAAGGCTACCAATCACATGATTTAGTAGGTGAAATGACATCCTACGGTGCCCCTCGCCTTCAGGAGTCAGCAACTGGAAGTCAACAGGTGAAGCTATAACCATTATTGGAGGGAAATACCCTGACATTTTATGTGTCTTAATCTGCCCAACAGATATTGGAATGTGTTGAAACGATAAATGGTATATTGTTGTTTTATGTCATATTAACAGCCGGAGTACTTTAAGGATGTGCTAAGTTTGCTTGGTGGAGGAAAGCCCAGAGAAAAACCAATATACATTTTCATCAAGCCTTGATAAATGCAGATTTCTTTCATCTATCACCAATTATGAATTTAAAACCAGAGAAGCCACAATTTTTTTTTCCAAATCCCAGTTCAGTTCCTCATTGGGTTATTTAATTTTGTTCTTTTGATACATTCCAGATTTAGAATATCTCATTTCTTGCATAAAATAAATATGGACTGATAATTCTCCCTGAGAAGAATTAGGGTCTAATCTTCATGATAGGTTGAAATGACAGTTAAGAGGACTTTTCATTCCATAGAAACCATCGTATAACATTCTGACTTCTCGCTCCCCAGATGACAGACTTTTTTTCCCATAATTACCGGATGAACAAACAAACATGACATGTTACCAGCATGGTTTTGATATGACATTTCTCCATATATAGCATGAAAGATAATATCATACAGTTTTCTCTGCCATTGTTATATAACTTGGATGTTCGATTTGCCTCAAGAAAGTAAAGACTTTGACTTCAACAAGTGCAACAGCAAAACAGAAAATATGTATATTTATCTGACACTGCCATTGTCGAAATAAGCCTGCCACATAGATTTTTGCTGTATTCAGCAGTATTACTCTTTGAATTTACTTGAATATTACATTTAGAAATATAAGTAGTTAATGAAATAAGCAATTAAACATGTTGTAATGAACATGTTGATCTATGAAAATTCATAAAATTGTAGTTATATCCAATGAAGTTTGGAAATATATTTCCACGCAAAGCAATTATTTTGGCAAAGATTGAATATATGTCATCTACAAGGAGAACAAATCTGTTTCCTAGTTGATTGATTTTTTGTCCAAGATGAAGTCTAAATTGTTATGATTATCTAGATAAAGGATCCACCACTCCCAGACCTCGATGATACATCACCTCCTACAGTTTGGAACTTAATATTCGCTAGCAATAAATTTCAGACTTTTATTCTGTTCTATTTTCAGGACAACATCACCGTGACCATGACAATATGGACTATTATTACCAACTGGAGATATGGAAGGGCAATATAAATGGGGCATTACGATTGGCCAGGGAGCGTGAGGAACTCTCTGATTGGCTGGTTTCTATGGCACCAATGGGTAAGTGTAGATATCAATTAATGAATTGTGTTCTTAGTGAAGAGGTGTCAGTCTTTATTTCTCCCTCTGTTTGTTTGTTTTTGAAACCCATTGATGACTTTGAAGGTTCTCTGATAGTATCAGATATCTTTGTTTATCAGAATATTGAGGAGCACTAAATTTATAACCTTAATTCGGTTGTTGCATGCCGGTAAAATGCCAGATTGTAGAAAACAAGATTTCTATAATCTTACGGTTGTATTTGTCGACGTTGCAACATCCAAGGATAATATGTTTTGGATAAATTGAATGAATAAACCTGACAGTTTCAAGAAATATGTAGTAGATTCAGGTCAGTGTGATACGGATAATAAGCTTTTGAATTCCGAAGTAAGAAATTATCTTTTTGAATAGCAGCAATTTAAGAAAAACAGAAAAGCTATAATTGGGGACATCAGAATAACCTTAGATGAATATCTGGCATGCCTCTGTGTCATATATTTGTATGTTAAAATGACGGTTATTATTCTTTCTTATGATAAATCCATGTAAAAAGGGGGCAGTTAATTTGATGTCACTTTATTCTAAAGCTCTGTTATTTCATTAATGTACCCAGTGAAATATTTTTGATATGATATATTGTCCTAATATATTAGCTGACAATCACTGACAATTACCTCTAGTTTATAACTGGCTGAAAATTATGTAAGGACCTAGCTCGAGAACACGAATGAGACCATGTGACCTTGTTCCATATTGATAATCAGAAGCTTGACTTGACAGATTTATATGTGTACAGAAGCTTGACTTGACTGATTTATAGGTGTAAAAATTACCTAAAACACTCTACTGTGTGGCCTAGAGTACAGTTTTATCAGTTAAACACATCCTGAGTAGTTATAATCTGTTTTAGTTTAATTTGATGACCTATTTTTCAGTTGAGATTTTAACAAATACTGTTTTATAGTTCTGCAATAAAGCCACCCTCAGAGTGGAAGTGTGCCCCCAGCCCACACTCAGAGTGGAAGTGTGCCCCCACCCCACCCTCAGATTGGAAGTGTGCCCCCTCCCCACCCTCAGAGTTGATATGTGCCCCAACCCACCCTCAAAGTGGAAGTGTGCCCCCACCCCGCCCTCAGAGTGGAAGTGTGTCCCCACTCCGCCCTCAGAGTGGAAGTGTGCCCCATCACCATCCTCAGAGTGTAAGTGTGCCCCCTCCCCACCCTCAGAGTGGAAGTGTGTCCCCAGCCCCACACTCAGAGTGAAAGTGTGTCCCCACTCCGCCCTCAGAGTGAAAGTGTGCCCCATCACCATCCTCAAAGTGGAAGTGTGCCCCCACCCCGCCCTCAGAGTGGAAGTGTGTCCCCACTCCGCCCTCAGAAAGGAAGTGTGCCCCCCTCCCTTCCTTCAGAGTGGAAGTGTGTAACCACCCCACCCTCGGAGTGGAAGTGTTCCCTATCCCAACCCTCAGAGAGGAAGTGTGCCCCATCCCCACCCTCAGAGTTGAAGAGTGCCCCCATCCCGCCCTCAGAGTGGAAGTTTGCCCCATCCCAACCCTCAGAGTGGAAGTGTGCTCCCACCCTGCCCTCAGATTGGAAGTGTGCCCTCATTCCACCCTCAGAGTGGAAGAGTGCCCTCATTCCACCCTCAAAGTGGAAGTATGCCCCACTCCTCGCCCTTCTCGTCTTATATCACAGGGTAAATATGGTACACATTTTAATAACTAAACAGCATGAATTAATATAACCAACAGCTAGCTTGTCATACCCATTTATCATGATAGGATATCATACATATACCATATTTATGCAGCAGTGAGCCCATATCTGTGACTAATTAAGTCTATATGTATTTAATTGCTGTTAATGTGTAGAATTATGAACAAATGCTATTTTATCTTCCTAACTGTAATAAGCCCACCCACTGACTTTAAGTGGGGATAATATCTTGGCAAACTGATCGTGTTACAGTGTAAAAACAATGTTGTATATTGAGTCTGAGAACTGTCCTTATCTTAAAACATTGTCTATATCATTAGACAAATATGCTACTTTTTTCTAGATTACCAAGGGCCCTTAGAGTGATTATTAGTAGCCAAATAATGGTGAAATTTTGATAACTAAATTCCAGTAGATCTGTGACGGTGATATTTGACTGCTTTGTTTTTAAAAACACTGTGAATGACATATCTCAGTAATTTCAGGTACAGATGTAAATGAGACATGTCTGAGAAAGGTGAGAAAATGTAGGACGGTTTGTTTATCACCCCATGGACAGTTAGGGTTGTTTTGATGCAGGGTGTAATTGGTTGTCACCTCATCGAACAACATACAGGAGGTCCATCACATGTGTGAAGGATATCTTATGGTTATTGGTCACCACTGTGACATAACTATGATAATGTCTTGTATGATTTGATCTATTGACTAAATAGAAACACAAAAAGTGTTTCATACTCTAGTTAAGTTTGAAAACATTTCAAGTTCATGGAGGCATGAAAATGAATGAATTTCTAAAGTACTAAAAATGAACATACACACACAAAAAAAATTCCAAAATTAATAATGATTATTTTCTTGCTAATTGCTGTTTTCAATGAATATTCATTGATTTGAGTGTAAATAATAAGAGGTTGTAAATTCTGTTAGATATTCTTTCAAAGAAAGAAATTTTGCCAAAGATAAATGAAAGAAGTATGCAAAGCCATTCTAACATTTTCTGAAAGAAATAGTTATTTTTCTTAATGAAATAAAATTCTTGATAATGATGCTGTTTAAAGAATAGTGAAAAGGATAATTTGTTACTCAAATTCAGCTTTTAGCAGGTTGGCAGAAAGACAGACATATTTTAAGACAGACAAAAAAAGTGACAGATACAACTGTTAACACCACTGCATAATTAAAATCTTCAAGTAGGTTTAAACCTTTAGTTGTTGAATGCCCAACAATACTCTAGATCGTACAAAAATTGCACATAAAACACATAGGTGAAAAGTATGCTAAGGGCTTACATTTTGAAGCTTTGGTAGCAACTGAGGAAAATCTGGAGTGATCAAAAGAAATGCAAACATCAAGACAGGGGTGGTGCATGCACCAGTCACATAATTCAATAAATTTCATGATTTTCATAACCTGTATCCAGACTAAACCTGAAGTCATATTCTTTTGATTGAGTCATTCTAGATTCTGAAAATTCTGTTTATTGACTAGTCGTATGACGACTAGCTATTACAGTAGAGAGCTAGTCCTGATTCACTAGCTAACACCAGACGTGTGTATATGCCATCCATCATGTTTTCTACCTGTTGTTTAGACACCTTGTTCAGGTGAGAAGGTTAATTGTCTTCTGTCAGTATTACCTGTGTAAATGTTAAGGTCAAGGTCAAACATGTAAAGGACATGTATGGTGATGACGTTTATGTTTGCAACATTAAGTGTTTCACTGCTGCGATAAAAAATTGACAAATCTCCTGTCTTAAATGAGATTTCCTTGTTCGTACACTGCAGATGTGTAAAGTTTCAAGTAGTTATCACATGATATCTGCAACGTTTATTGTTAATGAATAGATATGAAAACTATTTTTTGAAGAACTTCAAAATTTAGTAATGGATGTTTTAGATATATAATGGTAAACCTATATTGTGAATCTTTATTGTTTTAAAGAAGAAGATTTAGAATCTCACTGTGATCACTAAAATCACAGAAAACAAGTGTTGCTTTATAAAAAAAAAGTTCTTTAATCTTTCTTAGATACAGCAAATTATAAACTGGTAATATAACAATATATCACAGAATTATTTCAAACTGATCATCTTTCTGATGACGTCATCAAAACGTCACACTCAATTCTTTATAAGGTTGTATTACAAGAATTTTTGTTCAATTGACATTTCCAACTGAAGAAAATATTCCAAAATATTGCATGTGATAATTTTTGGTATTTATACTTTCAAAACACTCTTTGTATTTATAGAGCTTGTTCAGAGGTGTACAGTAGAAATGTAACTATTTTCATATTTTACGAGTGTGACCAACTGAAGTTAGAAAAACAGTGTACAGATCAGCAATACAGATCCAAGTTCTTAATATCATACATATATTCAAAAAGCAATTCTTGAAAAAAAATTTTAAAAAACTTAAATTTTAGTACTTTTTGTCAGTCATTATGAATATTGATGATAATGGTTTTATAATTTAAATAGTTTTAAATATGTACTTTAGGAAAAATTACATCGAGTGTGACCATTTCTGATTTGCATGTCATTGAACCAAATTTGACCAAAATTTTACCTTTAATTCACGATAGAGTCACAGGTAAGCTAAGTATTGTGATCAGATATATCCATTATCATATCTGTAAAGACTGATTGTTAATCTAACCTCTAGAATTGTCAGACCCGCAATTACCTACATCAACGTATATCCTGTCCACAAATTAATTATATATAACATTATATGAACTATTGTTGACCCCAACATTGTAATTTTTGAACGTGGTCATCTGAGATAAAACACGGTATAAACAATCATAATTAATCCTAAAGCTTATTGATTTAGATCTATTATCTAAATGGCTCGATTGTTTTACTAGAGGGGACAATTGTATTGAAATTCAGAGAGAGAAAAAACAACATTTGTCATTTATATATCATATCAAATAGGACTAGTCTGACAGTACAGGAAATGAAACTCATTCTGCATATCTCTAGATCTTCAAAACTACAACAGGTTAATAAATAAATTTTTAGAGGTTTTCAATGCACATGTATCCTTACTTCAAGGGGCTCTGATTCAATTAAGATTCTTAAAGTGAAGATGGTAAAGTAGATTGGCTTTTAAATTACCAGGTAACAAAATTATGATGAATGTCACAACCTTGTGTATTCTTAAAAGACAGCAAACAGTTTTTTCCTGTTTGATTGGACAGATTTTTTCCCAGTTATGTTGATCTCTACAAAACTTTATTTCATAATCAGAATTAATCAAATTCAATAAAGATCTACAGACAATTACCGTTTTTTTCCCAGTATTTCTTATGTGATATTTTTTGTATTGTGAACTAATACATAAATCTTTTAAGATATGAACCTCAAAAATCTGGTAATAATGGTTGAGATGTTTCTGTCAACATTACAAAGGTGTAATACACTCCAATATCTAAGGTCCATATACACTGAATAAAGTACTTGGAAACTCCAAAGCTGTCAGATAAATCGGATCCCAGGGAAAAATCAGGACCACTTTCCAGTTATCTAGTAGAGTCCAATACATTTCTTGAAACAAACCTGCCTTATTCCTTACTCGGAGAAGTACCTATTTTTATTTTTATATCATAAATGTGAAAAAGTCTATTTGAGAGAAAATGTAATGTTTTGTGTTTTGCAGCAAACTTTGATACATGGATAACAGTTTGTGAGGACTACGCCACTCAGCTAGAATCTGAAGGACAGTATCACAAAGCCGCCACCTACCTTCTCGCAGCACAGAAAGTCTATGAAGCAATTGAACTGTTCAGAAGACATCGGCTCTTCAAGTAAGGCACACTGGTAACCCGTACAGTTTATTAAGGGAAAATATCTTAATCTCAATATTTTAGATTTAAAGAATAGGGCACATTAATTAGTATGTACAGAGGGATTGGTAGTTTTTGATTCATTCAACACGGTCAGTAATTGAATATTTTTTGACAAGGTTCAATCTGAAACGTTTACAAACAATGGTGATCAATTCATAATTTGACAACGTTTACATAAATCAGAATATTCACCAGAAATCAGGATATCATAAGTGATATATTTCAGGACAATTGATCACCAGGGATTGTAGCTAGATCAGTATTAGGCACGACTTTCGTAGCATTTACAACAGTATGAAATAGGAAAGACTTTGAAGAAGTGAAAAAAAACATGCTTAAGTAATTCATTTTTCATTGCAAGTAAGGGAAATTGTATCATTTCCGTGACGCATTTGTACTTTTAGTTTATTGGCCGTCAGCTTACAAACAAGCCACTTATCACCAGTAATAAAAAGGCCTGTTTGGGTCTGACTTTATTGATCTGGTTTTCTGCAGAGCTGTTAGCAGTGTACTCTGTCCATTTCAAGGTCAATTGAACATACGGTAATAGCAAATGTACTGTTGATTATTGGATGAGAAAGGATGACATTACACAGCATATATTAGCGACTGAGGTTTGGAAAAAAAATATGCCAAGATTTTATCGCCAATAGAAATGTGTTTTCAATGTACTAATAACCCCAGATGTGATATTTCTGTAACACAAGATGGTACATGCCATTAAATGTTTGGTAGAAAGGTGAAGGTCACATGAGGTTCTAGTCTCAATTTGTTAACTTAGAAATTGACATTGTAGTGGTCTGATTATGTAGGTAAGAAGTAAGGTTTAAACGTGTCCATGTTTACTATCACCCTTACACTGGACATCACACAGTTTAATAGGATTTCTCAGGTGTCTCACAAAGCATCTAACATCTAGTGCAGAGGAAACTCATTCTTAACCGGCAAGCTCAATTCAAGAAATTTGCCTTCTTTTGTCCAGTGATTGCCCTTCATGCTTGTGTCTTTTGGCAGCTTTCTAGCTCTTCAGGGAAACAGTCTGTATGTACAGCATTTAACATACATGTGATAACAATGTTGTTCTACAATTATTGATCATATTACGGAAAATGGATAGTGAATGTTTATAAAGCAATTGATGCTATATACATTACCATACCAGCTGTGGTAAGAAAACATAAATGTACCATCCAGGACAGCCAAGCTCTTTATTTGTTTTAGCATATGTATATTTATTCTAACCTATCTATACAGTACGAAACCAGTGAGAAGTGGGGAAGAGCTGGGCAACATATATTAAGTCTATGGTAGTGTAAGGACGTTAATCTGAAATTATAAGAAAAAAAAAACTATTTAAAAATGAATCCAGTTAACTGATGCCAAAATATCAAAATTGATTAATTTGAAATGTTCAGGACTGACTTAGCATCGTCTGTGCTTGTTTCATAAATTCACAGAACAAAAGTAATTTTTCATTTAAAATCACTTTTGGATGTTATGTAGCAGTCACTATGGGGGTTAATCATGGGTTTGCCCATACATAAAAATACACATAGTCAAAGCTTTCTAAATATGTCTAATTAATGCATATAAATACACACAGCGTCAAAGCTTCTTGATACATTTTAGTAACACATAAAAATACACACAGCGTCAAAGCTTCTTAATACTTCTTATTAACACATAAAAAAATCCACGCTGTCAAACCTGCTAAATACAGCTTATTAATACATTGATTTAAAAACTTTTAAGATTTGTCCATTTTGTATAAAGCTGATCATAATAAATATTTGATTGATTGTGTATTTGATGATTAATTATGAAATTGATTACCATCACTAGCGGGCGGTGAGCTTATCACTGGATAATGAAATTGGTTAATTTTACTGATAAGCAATTTATGGATGGACTCATTGCTGGACCAATACAGTGGTTAGTGAGCAAAAGATGTTTAATTCAAGTCATACGTCTCACAAAATGGTAACATACATTTGTGTTTAGGAATATTGTCTGTCAAATTTACCACTGGATGTTCAATACATGAACGTTACTAATCTATTCAATAGATTTTTTTTATGTGTGATTGCTCTGTGTAACGTGTTCTTTTTTATTCTAGGGAGGCTATAGCCCTGGCAAAGGTGAGGTTGTCTCCCTTTGACCCTGTTCTAGAGGAACTATATACACTGTGGGCACAGCAGCTAACGAGGGATGGAAACTACGAACAGGCAGCTAAATGGTAACATCTCCCTTAGTTTACTAGTGTTGTAGAAATATCATTCTGTCCTGTGTTTAGTGTCATATCTTAAAATGTCAAAACAGAAAACACAGCCATTTGGTAAATGTTTAAGGCTAACATTATAAAGTTACCACAGCACTTTCAAGTCCGAACTTAAAGAATAAAGCTATAAAGTACAGGTTTGTGTAAAAAATTAAATCACATCAGAATTCATAGAGGAAAATATGGATAGATAGAACAGAAATTAACCCCTTGTGAAGGATTGTTCCACCTGATGTAAAGGAAAATGGCAGAAATACCTTGTCGACAAACATGCATTTATGCTGTTTTCAAATAATATTTATCCTAAGCATTACTTTTCTTTGTCAGCGACATGATTTTTAACATGCCGTTTCACATCATCTCCCTATTGAACATAATGGACTGACCTTGTTCAGTAGCACAGACTATCTGAACTTGAGTATTGAGGCAGCAGTTTATAATTTAGATAGTAAAGTGTATCCATTTCCTGTATTTATGAGAAAAAGATGATGACACGACAGATGGCCATGTATACCCTTTAATTTGTCCTTGGCTTGCTTAAGGTAATCACATCAACAAAATTATCCATTACATACGTATAATAAAGCATAGCCTGTGATGTTCCTCTGCATCTTTGAGATGATCAACAGATGTCTGAATTATATTACATGACTAGATTCGAAAAATCGTATGTATGTGGAAAAAATCTTCAGTATTCTATCTTTATCATTTATTTTTTTTTTGCTCACCTGCAAAAAGAGATGGCCTTGACTTATATTCAAGGTCACAGAGGTCAGATTTGTTAAAATTTTTAAATGACATCTTCTCATGAACTAAAGAGCATAGAGGCATGATATTTCGCTGATAAGTTCCTATGATAAAAATTGTCAGAGTTTGCAAAATGAAATGGCCTTGACCTATATTCAAGGTCACAGGGGTCAGATTTGTTAAAACATTTAAACATTTTCTTCTAATGAATTTAAAGGCCTATAGGCATGATGTTTGGCTGGTATGTTCCTGTGATGAAACCAAACAAAGTTTGCACAAATAAATAACCTTGACATTTATTCAGTGTTACAGGGGTCATGTTTGTAAACAGCTTCTTCTCATGAACTAAAAGGCCTAGATGCATGGTATTTGGCTAGTTAATTCTTTGAATGAAGCCAGACAAAGTTTTCAAAAATAAATTATCTTATCTTATAATCTAAGTCAAAGGGATCAGACTTGTTTAAACCTTTAACATGAGGTAAAGAGGCCAAGAGGCATGATATATACCAAGTGAGCACTGCAGGCCCATTTTGACCTCTTGTTTTATTATCATTGATTTCCATTAGATCATGTTTATCTACAAATAGTTCCTTGTTTAAGCCCAATTGTTTGGATCAACTAAGAATTTGAGATTGCCGTCCTAGTCTCACATTTAATTTATCATACAAATGAGAAGTGAGGACTTGATGAGCCACCCGATAGAATTTACAACACTCATTCTCCACCGTGAAATCAATATATTTAGCAAGTATGATGAAGGTGACATTGAAATCTACAATAACGTCTGAATTCATTACATAATCAGTTTCAAGTTACATTTATCCATTACAAACTCTCAAGCTATCAGCATAAGTTTATGCAAAATATTTTACGTATTCCGTGTTGTGTTTGCATCAGATTTTTCCTCTGTCCATTTGCTCCAGTTTTCCTAACATGATTGCACAATGGTCTTTCCTGATATTTTTACCCCGTCCTACATAAAGTAGGCTATAAAGTTATCAATTTTTGCATTCAGTTCTGTGATAACATTGTGTACAAGATATCATATGATCCTCAGCACAGATTTGATTCATATTCACACACTAGCTTCATATAATTGAATGTATGATGAGATTTTAATGGTTATTGGTCAGGAACAAAGGTCAAAGGTCACCCAGTTAATCAAAGGGTTAGGGTATATCTAAATGACCCCATGACTATGTTTTTTGTTGTTCATACACTTTGACTAAGTTACTTTTTACAAATTTTATCAATAATTCTAGCATGATCCGGGAACTTTTTAGCAGACTGTGAACATTTTCCCATTGGAGTAGGGGATAGTAGTATGCCAAAATTTTGCAGTTCTGGTTTTTCATGTGTGGTATATTGATTGCTAAATTTTGTTTCAGAACTATTTATGTTAAAGTTTTTGTAATGATAAACCCAGTTTTAACAGGAACAGTTCGCAATTCTGATGCAAGCTGATGATGATGATGGTAGTTTATCGTCCGTGACTCTGCCCGTCGCTGGGCATTGTCCAATCGACATGTGTCGATTCTCTCTGGCGACGTTGGAATGATGTGAGCTGACATATTGTCTTACCTTTGTAGCCACCTTGCGATGAAACAGGTCCAGGATGCCGCCCTGTTATTGGCTAGGAGGTACAACCAATCAAGTTTGAGGACAGCCAGCCACATCTGTCTCGTGGCAGGGGAGAAACAACAGGGCCTGCTATACGCCTACAAGGTGGCTCAGCAGTATTCCCTTCAGTCAGAATGGAAGGAAGCCTACACCTTCTTAAAGGAACAGAAACCTTTCCAGGTAGGAATTGCTTTACAGGATTTCTTGTGATTAAAAAATACCTTCACTTATGGCCTGAATAGATTTTCTTTTTTATACAATCAGATAATGTTTTAACTAAAAAAAAAATCATGATATGTCTAATTATTTCAGAGTGTTTATTTTTGTGATCACATTGACATACCACAAAGCAGTGAAAACATCATTCCACATAAATAACTATACAGTATGACACCATTAACATTGATCAGCATTAAACTTTGGTAAATAAGGCCCATAAAATTGGGATCTGAATGTGATCATTTTTTACCATATTCAAATTCAAAAGAAACATTTATTATGAATAGATATACCATAAAATTGTTTGTTACTAGTCCACTGTCATGGAAATATTTTTTCCTGAATAATTCACAATTGCAAATGTCTAGAGAATTACAACAAAATCATGAGCCAATGTACAGCAATATTTTATATTTTTGTATGTAGATGATTGGACAACACAAATCTTTATTAAAAAATAAATAAATAAATAACTGAGCTTTATTTGTTTTTTATTTTAATTTGATTGGTTCTTACAATATTAGATCACAAAAGTATATTTGTATTACTTCTTTTAAAAGTGAAAATGTTTATGAAAAAATTGTTTACCACAACTCCTTAACTGAACAAAAATACTTTTATCACTCTCTGGCATATAAAAGTTATGGCTAATCCCAGTAAATTAATGAGAGAAAATCCTTTTAGTCCTGTTAAAGTCCTGGAATTTCATGTCTTAAAGTCTGTATTCTTATATATGGGATTCCATTGGTCTCTAGTTGTGATTGGTTTGATACGTACATCGTAATAAAAGCTCAAGCTGTTACATATATTATAATGAGAATCAGTATTTTCACTAGTAATCAAATATTGGTGACTAGATAGTAATTAACTTCGTTTATTTCACAACAGTTGCAAAAAAAGTTATTTCATTTTCCACTCATCACTCTTGTTGGCCTGGATGTAAGCACACGGTGGTTTTATTGTTTTATTTTTATTGTGGGGCGGGGAGGGGGGGAGGTGGGGGGGAGGAAATCGTATTTCCTTGGGAATTAAAAGCCGGTCGGGCAAGTGACCCCTTTACCTTTTCACGTCCGTCAAGGGAATCAAACCCTGGACAGCTAGGTGAAAGACGATTGCATAACCTTTGCACCACCTGACCACCCAGGTGACTGGATAAACAAAAGATTGTCATTTATTTCAATTTTAAACAGGTTTTCCAAAACTTCCTGAAATTAAGAATTCTTTGACTTGTTTCATAATTTATGATAAATATTATTTGAATTTGAAAATCATACAAGATTTTCTATAAACTCTGATTAGAACAAAAGCAGAAGGAATAGGAGTATAAACAAGGACTTTGGTTTTCTAATTTTCTAAATTGTGTTACTTTTGACCTTTTACCTGTAGTGTGTAACTGCTGTGACAGCCATGCATGAATTGCTGATGTATGAGGTACAGAATATTCCCCTGGACAGTGTGTCTATAGACAAAGCTAAGTTCACACAGTGGAGCAACATGGGAGGCTCTAAGGTATTACTGCCAGGTAAGTAGACCAGATTCAACCCAAAAACATGAGATTCTGTTATCTGAAACTTCTCACTTTTCATATGCTAGTTTTATAGCACTAAAATTATATATTACCAGAATGGGTCACTTAAATATATCAAGGGCCATAACTCCCACTGTTTTTTAACAAAGAAAACATTATTTTGTCTGAATCTTGACAGACTATTTTTGACATCTACAAAGAGTAGCTATTTTGATGTAAGGTTGAAACCTGTAAGCAATATCATTCTTTAATTTACAAACTGCATTGCAGTCAATATTGTTTTTTAAAATTAAAGTTTGCAAACTGTCACCTCAAATCTTTACATATATTGATAAAGATATTGATAGAGATCAGGCCATTCGAAGATTACTCAATCACTGTTACTGGTTCTTTTCATATTACAAGTTATTGCCCTAATATGATGATACCTTAAAGAATTATATTATGCCTGGGGTTATTTTTGAAGACTGAATTTTATGAAGAACTGACATCTTTTTTTCTATTTTCAATAGGAATTGTCTCTTATTTTTTAGACTTTATGTTAGATGCCAAAGAGAATGAACCAATATCTCCATGGCAACCGTACTTGATCGATGGCCACACGTTCCCTCACCATGTGCTGCGCATCCTCCACTCCAGTCTGGGTGTCAGTATGGACACCACCAACCTGGAGGATATGTACAAAGCTCTCAGTGTACTTCATGCTGGCCGCCAAATCCAAACAGATCTTCTACAGGTAATGGAAAGATTGCCTAATTCATATTAGACCTGATGAAGATTTTCAGGTCTTAGTAATGTAAAGACAAGACGTTGTCATGGTCATTAGTTTCCAGTCAAGCTGATTTGCCTTGCCAGTTGACCTACTCATTGTTAATTTTGTAAAGGTCACTCATTACAGGAGAGTTCAATTTAAGATGCCTTGCCTTGCCACTTGACCTATTCCATGTAGACTTTTTCAAGGTCGTTGATTGAATTATAGAGTCCTTGTCTACATGATTTGTATTGCTAGTTGAGCTATTCAGTGTAGATTTTGTCAAGGTCACCGATAACATTAGTGTCCTTCCTAGTCTTTACAGTCAGTAATGTACACATGTTATATTCAAAATCTTTAATAAATGTGTAAAATGTGTGTCTATTTGAACAGCTGCTGGGCCAGGTGAGTATGGACCTGGTTCTTTGTCTCCTGTCTCTGTTGATGTCCGAGACCCCTACAGCCATTTCCCACCTACTCCAGGCTATCAGCCTCCTCCACGAGGCTGGTCACTATGATCTGATGGAGCTCATTCTTCGACTCTTCCTCCCACAAGGTCAGTCAGTTTAGATACAGAGTGTATTTTATCAGTAGTAATTACAAAGAAGGAACAGATAATTGTTACGTCAGCGTTTATTGTCACAAAACGTCATATATAACACCACCCTATCTTGATAGTCACACATTAGTCTCTTATACAGTTTCAAGTCACCTTCGAGTAAAGCCAATTACTAATGTTATACATGTTATTTTTAGAATTAAGAGAACGGAATATTTTCAACATAACCCCGTTTTTTAAGGGTTTTTATTGTGCCATTTGACGCATTTTATCGTAAATGCCTTGTTTTCTGTATTTACAGCATTTTTTTTTACCTCATCTTAATTTCACATGTGCAATTTTTTTATTTACATAATATATCAGACAATTAGGTAGCAGGAAACAGTTAATTTGCATTTTTCCTGAAATTATTGGTCATGGGTGAGATATACAGCAGATTGACTATGAAAAATACACTCTTACATGCATACATTTATAAACCACATAACAATTACATTAATAGAAGAGAGATAAAATTTGTGTAAATCAAAAAGTTCCCTCTGATTTCTGACATATTATTGCCATGGTTACCAATTTCAAAAAAGCTAAAAAACGCAACTGAAAACTACAAATTCTTAGGAGGAGTTTATTTCAGAACATCTGTCTTGAAGTTAAAAACACTACTATGGTAACAAATTGCTTACATTTCAACAAATTCCATCACAGGCTTCTCTGATAGAGTTTAACCTAGCTGACTTAAAAAGAAATGTTTATTAACAGATAGTGTCAGTAAAATTCTTGATTTGACAACTTTTTATGGAACATTGTCTCCCTAGTTTGATTTTTTCAAATAAACATAAATTATACAGCTTTTTTAAATTTTTTTTTTTTTTTTTGGGCATTTTAGCCATTTTTAGAAAATGATTGAATTTTATGTAAATTCCAGGCCCAAAATACTTGCTGAAATTACAACAAGAGGTGACGGCCATGCGAGTAGTAATCAGCATGGATAACCACAGCAGTGTAGATGGAGCCTCCAAGGTCCACACTATCAAACGGTACTTGTCCGAGATCAGGGACGACGACGCTGTATCCAATGCAAATCTCCGCTGTCGTGAACTTGACTGTCTACGAGCATACTACTACTTGGTTATATTGAGTTTTCTCAGAGGAAAGCTTTCCAAAACAAAATCGTCAGATGACATATCTGTCATTGCTGAACCAGCAAAGGAACATTCATCAGTAACTCATTCTGGAGAGGAAAATTCTCCCCAAGATTCCATTGGAACATCTGCCATAGAACAAGTGGAAACAGAGAACCGAAGTGGTACCGTTACTTTGGGAGCTGGTGATGGAAACTGTGATAGGATCGGAAATCCCAGTGAAAACGCCAGTGGAGACAACAGTGCTGATGTTAAGGACAAGCTTATGACAGATCGTCAAGCACAAAGTTCAAACAATTTAATGCCTTCATTACCTTTGCCTCAACGTAGAGAAAATTGTGATAAAACTGAGAGTGAGAAAATAGCACCTAATGAAAACAATGAGAAATCCCAAACTACCTCTACTCTGCAAGGTTTTGAAGGGTCAGACTGTACAGTGCAGGGAACAGAAATTGCTCTAGGTCAGGAGTGTAACAAAAGTGTTAAGGAAAGTTCAGTAGATGGTAAAAAGTCAGATGTTGACAAAAAGTGTTCAGATATTGTCAAAGACAAAAATCCTGATTTGTCATTCTCGTTTGACACATGTCCTGAAGATTCTCCCACATATCATCTGACTTTACCTCTCCTATCCCACCTGGCACGAGGCCTGCTGTGGGACATACAAGGAAAGCGATTTGCCCTGACAGAGACCCTTGGCTACATTCATAAGGCCATATCCCAACTCTTGTTAGCTCAGAAACCCAGTGCCCTCCCAGGAGGACAGAATGAGACTTTGGCAATTGGGGAACTGGCAGTGGTCGGAGATGGACATCATAATAGTCCTTCTGACATTGACAATGTTGTTAACCAACGCTCACTAACTGAAACTGCTTCTCCCCTGTCACCAGAACCTCCTAGACCAGATGGAGGATCACCTAAGAAACGTCACAATAGTGAACCTGTCCTTGAGCGATCAGTGTCTAACACAACATCAAGTGTCACATGTCCGTTTCATGGCAGTGCAGCATTTTCTCGATCGGTGTCTATTGATAGTGGTGCTGCTGATATCAATATTCCTCTTCACGAACATTTTGGTTCCCTTGACCTTGACCTTGACCCCACCTCGGACAGTGCATTCAGCATCTGTTCCTCGTGTGAATGGCTTACAAAGTCTCGTAAGGTTCTCTGGGAGGATGAGCCTCATCCTCATTCACATCACATTACAGAGCATCAAGGACATCATGGCAAAGCAAAGGTCACAAGTATCGTAAATCCAGCTAAATACATCAATGTTCCCGATGAATGGTACAACACGGCCGCCGACCAAAAGTACAGCATGCCCTACGTTACCATGGCTATACTTAAGGATGAGCAGGAATATGTAATGCGTGAACTGAAGCGAGGCCCTGATGCTTTACATGTAAGTGTCCATAATCACAGTAACATTTAGATTTCATAGAAGTTACAGGTAGTTTATCTAAAGATTTTTCCTCTATTGCAGCATAGGTACTTTCCTCATGAGTTTCAATTCAAATTGATTTTTTTTTACTAGAATTCAAAAATGGATTTTCTGATACTATACAAAAAATGTCGTAGTTCACTCCTTGACTTTCAGTGATTTTTAAGGTAGTTTTACAGAGGTCAGATGGAAGATTTTTTTTTTAGTTTTGATATTAGGATAAAATTATGTGTTTAAAGATTATGTGAAGATCATATTAAAGTAAAATAGTACAAGTAATCAAATCAATTATTCTGAAATGAATGAGTATTAGTAAGTACAGTCAGTGGAGAAACATTTGAAATAGAAAGAAGTTCTTATATCAAAACCAGTAGAAGATGAAAGTGTGACGTTTCGATGATAACACAGTCACCTTCATCACACAAATGTGGAGCATACCAGCACTGACATACGTAGTGTATGAGATAGTAAGGATGATTCCTTACCATCTTGTACACTAGATACGTCAGTGATAGTATGCTCCACACTGGTTATATCTGTGATGTAGGTGACTGTAACCATCAAAACATCACATTCTAATCTTCTACTGGTTTTGATACGAAAAACTCTATTCATAACTAACCTGAAGAAATGTTTGAAAATGACCTTTGAAATGTTTACCGGGGATGTTGTTTATCTTTCAGATGCCCTTCCCTAACCCTCTGGAATCTGTCAAGCTTATATTGGAAGTGAGCAGCCAAAGTGCCTTTCTCAGTGTTGCTGAGAAACACCAGTTCGCTGAGAAGGTCGTGTCCTGGGGAATGAAATTCTCCGTATCATCCCAACAGAAGGAAGCTCTGATGGAGTCAATGCATCGGACATTAATTCACGAATAAATTCTTGACTCACAAAGTGAAATTGTCAGACAATTCTAGGTCTTGTTGAATTGACTGTAATCAGTAGCAAGTTATTATGCTTACATGTATGTCAGCTCATAATAAAAGTGGGTTTTTTTTAAAAAAAAAAAAAAAATTCCATATGTGATAATTTCTGTCCTGATTTATTTGGCTGTTACCGATATGTTTACCATAAGGCATGCTTAGAGATGATAAGTTCTTTGTCATTTAAACATTGTTCGCTGGCTAGGACTACATCCTCATTTTGTACTGCTGTGTTGTTTTAATTTTCATATAAATGACTAAATTCTACTGTCTCAAGTTCTCAAGAGATAAGACTAAGAAAACGCCAAAGCCCTTGGTGTCTGGTATACACATATTTGATAATTCAATACAGAGAGAAAATACTTAATAGAAAAAATACTGATAGATTAAGAAGGAAAATCTTAAGGGAATGCTGAAACTCAAAGACAAAAATATTTTGGGAAGTTTTGATCATTTATTATCATGACTAGTTTGATTTGAACATTTGACAACCCTCAACTCAGCTGGTATCAAATATCTGGACCCACAGACTGGTATCAGATCTATCTAGACCTTCTGTCTAGTATCAGATCTATCTAGAGCCCCAGACTGGTATGAGATCTATCTAGACCCTCAGACTGGTATCAGATCTATCTAGACCTTCTGTCTAGTATCAGATCTATCTACACTCTCAGACTGGTATTAGATCTATCTACACTCTCAGACTGGTATTAGATCTATCTAGACCCTCAGACTGGTATTAGATCTATCAAGACCCTCAGACTGGTATCAGATCTATCTAGACCCTCAGACTGGTATCTGATCTATCTAGACCCTCAGACTGGTATCTGATCTATCTAGACCCTCAGACTGGTATCAGATCTATCTAGACCCTCAGACTGGTATCAGATCTATCTAGACCTTGTGTCTGGTATCAAATCTATCTAGAACTTGTGTCTGGTATCAGATCTATCTAGACCTTGTGTCTGGTATCAGATCTATCTAGACCCTCAGACTGGTATCAGATCTATCTAGACCTTGTGTCTGGTATCAGATCTATCTAGACCTTGTGTCTGGTATCATATCTATCTAGACCCTCAGATTGGTATCAGATCTATCTAGACCCTCAGACTGGTATCAGATCTATCTAGACCTTGTGTCTGGTATCAGATCTATCTAGACCCTCAGACTGGTATCAGATCTATCTAGACCCTCAGACTGGTATCAGATCTATCTAGACCTTCTGTCTAGTATCAGATCTATCTAGACCCTCAGACTGGTATCAGATCTCTCTAGACCCTCAGACTGGTATCAGATCTATCTAGACCTTGTGTCTGGTATCAGATCTATCTAGACCTTGTGTCTGGTATCAGATCTATATAGACCCTCAGACTGGTATCAGATCTATCTAGACCTTGTGTCTGGTATCAGATCTATCTAGACCCTCAGACTGGTATTAGATCTATCAAGACCCTCAGACTGGTATCAGATCTATCTAGACCCTCAGACTGGTATCAGATCTATCTAGACCCTCAGACTGGTATCAGATCTATCTAGACCCTCAGACTGGTATCAGATCTATCTAGACCTTGTGTCTGGTATCAAATCTATCTAGACCTTGTGTCTGGTATCAGATCTATCTAGACCTTGTGTCTGGTATCAGATCTATCTAGACCCTCAGATTGGTATCAGATCTATCTAGACCTTGTGTCTGGTATCAGATCTATCTAGACCTTGTGTCTGGTATCATATCTATATAGACCCTCAGATTGGTATCAGATCTATCTAGACCCTCAGACTGGTATCAGATCTATCTAGACCTTGTGTCTGGTATCAGATCTATCTAGACCCTCAGACTGGTATCAGATCTATCTAGACCCTCAGACTGGTATCAGATCGATCTAGACCTTCTGTCTAGTATCAGATCTATCTAGACCCTCAGACTGGTATCAGATCTATCTAGACCCTCAGACTGGTATCAGATCTATCTAGACCTTGTGTCTGGTATCAGATCTATCTAGACCTTGTGTCTGGTATCAGATCTATCTAGACCCTCAGACTGGTATCAGATCTATCTAGACCCTCAGACTGGTATCAGATCTATCTAGACCTTGTGTCTGGTATCAGATCTATCTAGACCCTCAGACTGGTATCAGATCTATCTAGACCCTCAGACTGGTATCAGATCTATCTAGACCTTGTGTCTGGTATCAGATCTATCTAGACCTTGTGTCTGGTATCAGATCTATCTAGACCCTCAGACTGGTATCAGATCTATCTAGACCCTCAGACTGGTATCAGATCTATCTAGACCTTGTGTCTGGTATCAGATCTATCTAGACCCTCAGACTGGTATCAGATCTATCTAGACCTTGTGTCTGGTATCAGATCTATCTAGACCCTCAGACTGTTATCAGACCATGAGGCTCAGTACCCAATTTATCTAAATCCTCAGGCTGATTTCAGATTGTGGAATATGTTCCTTTGTACCCTTTCTAGACATGGCATCTTTGTCCTACCATTAATTTACCATGATAATACAACCCGTAGTTCCTTTGTTTATTCTTTTGGGTGTTTAGTCCACTGTGATACTTAGGGCTAATATTCAAAGGAAAATTTCTCTTTATAACTGTCAACAGAATAAAAGGTCCTGGGTTTGATTCCTAGCCTTGGATAGGGAGAAAGTATCTTTAGTAACGTCACTAGAGCATAATAGTCTGTCAACCAGAGGTCCTGGGTTTGATTCCCAGCCTTGGATAGGGAAAAAGTATCTTTAGTAACGTCACTAGAGCATAATAGTCTGTCAACCAGGGGTCCTGGGTTTGATTCCCAGCCTTGGATAGGGAAAAAGTATCTTTAGTAACGTCACTAGAGCATAATAGTCTGTCAACCAGAGGTCCTGGGTTTGATCCTTTGTAGAGGAATTGGAAAAAAAACTACTTTTGATACATGTATGAAATATTTAATGTGATATGGACATCATCAAAGAGCATTAATTGTCTTGTATTTATGAAAATAGGACAAGCTAATAATAGGATTGAGAATTGAGAGTGTTAGGTATCACGTATAGCAAACAATTTTACTTGGTCTCCTGTTTTGAAAGAAATGACAAGAAAACAGTGTTCTTACATCCTGCATGTGTTACATAAACTTTTTAAGTACTCTCAAATCTCCATCATTCAAGGACACCGTCTTTCCTATGGTGTTTTTATTCAATATTCTAGTTTATTTGTGAATCAGATAAAATAACTGAGTGATGAAGGCATTCAGATCAATGTGATATGTTAAGCATGCTCAAATGTCGGCTCATGTGAATAGTTGAAAATTGTGTGTGTGGACACGTATGTATCCTTGTTACACAGAAGATTTTTACCAGTGTTATGTTTTTCATTAATTGGTGTTTTCAAGCTGCCTTTTCTAATACGTAACAATTTAGATTTAACTGTTGCCTTGCCTTTTTTACCTGTGAGGTTTGTTAAAGGCCCTTAGTAAACAAAATTTTGTGCCTCTGTAGAAATTATTGTCTCAAATATTATAAAGTGTAAGTCCCTGGTTTACTTTGACCAGATCAGTTTTGTGAGGTAAAGGCGAGGGAAACAGGTTTCTAGCTCATAGTTATTTGTTTTTATTTTACTGACACAAACTTAATCGATATTTAACTAGGTAATGTTTGTTATATAGCTATGCCCCAATTGCCCGTTAGATCAAAATGTAAAACTGAATTGGAAAATAGCAGACAAAATCTCTTGTAAGAAAGAGTGGTCTCCCATCGTCTGCACATTGTGTGCTTCGTAGCAAACTCTGCCCACTCTGTAGGTATGCTTTTGTTCCCATACTAAGACACAACTGAATGGAGTTGACTGAAGCAAAATTTGTACGGTTATTTTATAGAGAATGTAAAAAAATGATATTTAATACTTTTCACTTCACAGAAGAGCATATCAACTTATAATTAAGGTGAATAGCTGGGCAGATGAGTTTGAACTAAAATCCTAAAATACATCGTCCATACAGTACAAGGTTTCTTCAACAATTTTAGTGGTATGAGTGTTTAACCAGTGATCTTTCCTTAATTTAACATTTTAGTTAATGTTTAGAAATTGAAATCTTTTGGAAAAGAGGCTTCTGCAATCTTACAACCAGAAAACTTTACATCTTCTGTGCCCATGCATAGGTTTAAGATTAGACTGTGGTATATCAATGTTGGCTAGTTGGATGAGTATGATTGTACAACTTCTTTATATTACTCAACTTCATCTATGATGTAAACAGTCATATGATATGAGGGGAATAATGGTTATCTTATCTGTGTGATAACATCAATCACATACATTGTTATCAGTGTCGTAACACTCACCACTTCACACTGGCACTACCCTGTTATCAGTGTGATAACATCAATCACCTACATTGTTATCAGTGTCATAACATCCACCACTTCACACTGGCACTACCCTGTTATCAGTGTGATAACATTAATCACCTACATTGTTATTAGTGTCATAACACCGTTCATTTACACCGAAACAACCCTGTTATCAGTGTGATAACATCAATCACATACAATGATATCAGTGTCATAACACCCACCATTTCACACTGGTACTACCTGTTATCAGTGTGATAACATTAATCACCTACATTGTTATCAGTGTCATAACACCGTTCATTTACACCGAAACAACCCAGTTATCAGTGTGATAACATCAATCACATACAATGATATCAGTGTCATAACACCCACCATTTCACACTGGTACTACCTGTTATCAGTGTGATAACATTAATCACCTACATTGTTATCAGTGTCATAACACCGTTCATTTACACCGAAACAACCCAGTTATCAGTGTGATAACATCAATCACATACAATGATATCAGTGTCATAACACCCACCATTTCACACTGGTACTACCTGTTATCAGTGTGATAACATTAATCACCTACATTGTTATCAGTGTCATAACACCGTTCATTTACACCGAAACAACCCAGTTATCAGTGTGATAACATCAATCACATACAATGATATCAGTGTCATAACACCCACCATTTCACACTGGTACTACCCTGTTATCAGTGTGATAACATCAATCACATACATTGTTATCAGTGTCGTAACTCCCACCATTTCACACTGGTACTACCCTGTTAACAGTGTTATAACACTCATTATAAAAATTATGTTATGGCCACAGATGTATAACACCTAGCAGGGTTGTGATTGGCTGAAATTTCCCATTGTTTCAGATGCATCATCATCACTTCAGTGTGTTATATACATGTACATGTAGATCTATTGTGATTAATGTTGATGTATTGCGATTTCACCAAGGAAAGAGACATGAAGCAAGAATATTGCCATTTTAGATTTATGTCAGTCATATATAATACTATTTTCACAAATACTTGGAAAATTAATTTATATGATAAACAGAATCTTAGATTTGTTTCAATTTCATATAAGGTCTTGTTTCATGAAATTGAAAATCATCACCCTACAAGTTCCCCTGTGATTTGAAATATGGTATAAGGATGACAGTGTGACACATATAGGGCAAGATATGTGATCTTTTTTAAAATCATTTCTCCTGTTTTGATGTGAATTGAATTAGAACATATTAGTGGTGAAATTACTCAGACCGACTAATCTTGGTCAGTGAAATGTTTACAAATGTATGAAACTAACTGTGGAGTGGCCAACATTAGATCTTTGTTTTAAAGATTAACACCTTGTAATTAAGCATAATCAATGTTAAGACTTTTTATGATAAATTCTATCCATTTTACCAGTAAGTCTTTTTCTTTTATTATATATGTAAGCTTATGTCCACAGGTGCATTTTGTTAACCTTCAAATTA